TGTTCATTTTCTTTGTCGATTTCTCTTAGGTGTGGAAAAGGAAAATGGGGAGGGGATGGGATTGGTTTGACTATTAATGTGTAGTGTGTTCATTTGCTTCAGTGGAGCTGAAACTTTGGTACATCATTTTATAATCTTGCTAAGCATTTTGTTTAAACGAAGTAAAATCAAAATGAGAACATACAAAAGAGTTTAACAAACTCTAAAAAAGTTGAAAGTTCATGCAAGTAAGAAAGTGAAATTGCGGTTGAAATTGTAATATAATATTGAAAATAGCTAATTACGGGTTGGTCTAATGTGTATATATTAATCAAGGACTTAACAGTCGCATTAACTCCATAGTATATAAAGGCATCAGGATCATCGGGTTGGGATGGGTTTAATTTACCCCAACCCCATTCCAACCCAATAGATGCGGTTTGAACTAATTTTGTATCAATTATTTGTCAAGTTGCTTCGGGTTAAGTTTTTTTGGGGTTTTTTGAGTTGGGTTGGTTGGGTTAGTCGGTTTCTTGAGCACCCCTACTCTTAAGTAGAGATGCATAGGTTTTAGGTTTTTTGGGTTAGGATCGGATCAAAAAAGCCCATTTTTTATGCTGCAAAAAGGAGCTAGGTGTAAACAAGTCCAGCTCCGGCCGGGTTGGGATTTGGGGCATGAAACTAGGCCTCAATTTTTTTTGGGTTGGGCTTTGGATCGAAGACTTTATACATTTCTAGTTCTCTACTCTTTAGGTATGTATTATGATAATCATTTTGTTTCAAGTATACATGTATGCTAGAGCTGTTTATGGACGGAACGACCCGTTAAACCCGACCCCTCCGGTCCGTTAAAGATACGGGTTTAGACAACCATTATTGAGGAAATGCACGGGCCCGAGTTTAATATACAATATATTATGTTTAAAAAAAAAATATAGCCTAAACATATATACTCAAAACTTATAAATATCATCATTTTAGCAAACAAATATTATAACCAACATTTGCTGATTACAATTGTTCAATAGGAACACGAACCGTCGAAAAAGCGACGTAACTATGAGAGCTCCAATGCCCATGTATACGATTCTTACAAACGAGAACTTTATAGAAACCATATGCTCTTCGGTTCACATATCGCCCCTGAAGTATGGCCCGTTGAGAAACGAGCTCGAGAAAGTTCCTCCACCATTCGGGAAAAGTGTAAGCAAACATATGAGCCCAAGGACAACCCCCCAAGCATACCGATCATCGCCTAGAGGGGTAATTTCGTCCTTTGCGGGTATTTCTTCTCCGCCTCTAGAAAATGTCGCAAAGAGCCCCCAAGCCAAACAAAGGACACTGCCATTGAGACCACCGATGACTAATAGGAAAGAAGTGGCAAAAGATAACAGGGCGGCCTTGCTCCTACCAAACATGGCTTGAGCCATCCGACCTCCTTCGAGTCTTCCACATGGTAACAAGTTCAACGACGTCACCACCATTCCTATATCAAATGAAAACAAGCTGAAATGTTTGAGACTAAAAGAGAAGAAACATGAAACATCAACCAACGGGTTGTTTACCAAGTGGTTATGGCCTCTTATCGAGTAAAAGCGTAGCAAATAGCAATAAGGTGAACCGGGAGGCTAACGGCTCAGTTGGACCAACCCTGTCTAAGTAACCTTGTTTCAAGGCTCATACGATGAGCGGGTCATAGAGCATATTGTCAAGAAGCAAACAAAGAAAATCTTGGCCATGGCTCCCTCGACCAAACCAAACCAATCCAAACCCAACCCAACCCAACCCACATAGAGGTATGGTTACGTTCCGGGGAGGGTTAGATGCATGCAGACTATTGTGAATCCCAAAGCACGTAAGTTAACTATTACTTGAGAACTTTCCAATAACGGAAACGTTGCAGGGAGACTCACCTAAAAGCCCAGCAAATGCAAGAGGATCAACGGGAACCCCAACGCCTTCCACAGCATAAGGCAACACGTTGCCTAGATCATCCGTGTATGGACCGACAACAAATTGGATGAAAGAAAGCAACGGGTTATTGTAAAAGAATTGCGGTCTTATGTACCTGCATACCAACAATCCATAACAAATTATTCAACCGAGCAAATAAAGAGTCTAAGCCTCAGGACTCCTCCCTGTAGGCGTCCGAGTTTTCCCTCGGTAACCGGGGATTTTCGTGACTGTTATCTTCACGGCCCCACAAGATTAATCGTGTGGGCAGGCTGGCAGACACCCACAGCTACCAAAAGAAAAGAAAACTTACAGAGCATTATCTCCTCCATTGAAGCTACCATCAGCAACGAAAGCCGCTACTGCAAGTGCCAGTGACGTCAAATAAGCACTGGCGGTTCGTGCCACTGGAATATCGAAAAGAGCCTTTTTGTTAGGGAGAAGAGACTCGTAGTTATTCATAACTCCCAAACACCCCGTCCACGTAGATGGGACGAGAAAAGACGGACTGAGTTCAACACCATATCTTGCTGCTGTTACCCGAGTAGCTATCTGCAGAAATAATAGATACAGTTTGACCAGTGAAGTCAATTATAGCACCATTTAAAGTCAAAATCGATATGGAATTCGTGCTTAATTTATAAAGATCAACTGTTTCATATCCATATAATCTTTATAGATTGCAATGTAACCATCAAATATTTGATGACATTGACCTTAAAGAAGTCATAATGTTGTTGATAAACTTAGTATCCAAGTTTTTGAAAAAGATGACACAAAAAGATGTACCTCTGAAACACCTAAAATGGTTAGGAAGCCGCCGAAGAGTGGCACAACGTCTGCTAGGTAGTCGTTAAACGTCGCATCAGGCTTAAGGAAGAAGCCACTCATCAAAGCAATCGTCCCAAAAGTGGTCACGGCTAAGGCTACTGCACTAACATAGCCCGATGGGGTGCTCAATTTCGTTAACTCGAACTGGAGATCTATCTCTGATCTCGGTTGTACCAAGCAAACCTTTTGACAAATGATAACAAGAAAGAAAGAAAAAACATTCTAAGAATAGTGTTCGAGAAATTCTCAATGCCAGAAACAAATGAATGGGTGGTGTTGTTTACTTTTTTTATCTGAACAAACAGTCTGAATAACATAAATGACCAATTTACCCTCCAATATTAATTATTTGAATATCAAAACAAAAAATCATAAAAAGGCCGAAGATAAGGTGTCTCATGGGAAGGAGGCAGTGCTTTAAATAAGGGGTAGCAGTGTCATTTTTTGGCCGAATGGAGACAACACACACCATTTCTATCTGTGCAATTAAGCCATGTTCTGTGCGAATAAGCCGTATATGATCAGAATCCAGTTACCTGTTTTGTGATATCATTAGACTTTTCCTCCATGAACCATAAAACAACCTCCCTTCCTGCAGCTTCTGATAATTTCTGTTCCAATGCTGGGATCACTTCTTCAATGGGTCTCCTTAAGTTTCCAATAAAAATTCCCCCATCTCCAAATCTCCTTACATCCGTTGCGAAAAACGTAGTAAACCCAAAACAGCTTTTTAACTGCCATTCAACAATTACAGTATATTAACATACGTGTTCAATATTTACTGTACTCCATATCAATCATGAGGACGAAAAAAGGCCCATTTGACACAAGAATTCTGGGTTAAAATCAAGATCATAAACATATTCTCCAAGAAATGTAAAGAATTCACATGGGTTTTCAAGATTCAGTAATGGTTTCACCTTGTTGAGATCAAGAGCCTTGAAATGCTCTTCTGCTTTCTCTAACCTCTGTTTCTCTCTAGACAAGTTATCACGAACCAGCTGATTGAAAACCCCCATGATTGGATTATCGCTGCTTCTCTCCCTATCAAGCTCTTTCAGCTTCCTATCTGTTCTTTTCTTTTCCAGCTTAATCGCAGCCTCGATCGAAAGATTACCCATAAATTTCTTGAACTCATCATCAGCCTTCCAATCCAATTCTTGCTGCTCCTCCTTCCCTTCGCCTTCATCGCCATTTTCTTCACTCAGTTTAGACCCCATATGGATTTCACCCTTTTCGTTTTCAACCGAAGCTACAGTCACATGGGATTCTTCTGTTTCTTTCTCGGCTTTGACAGAAATCTGGAGTCTTTTAGGGTTTTGAAGTGTAAATGAAGTATGAGATTTGTGAAAAGAAGGGGGCTTAAAGATGGAATTGATGGGTATAATTCGTGGGTTTCTGCTATTCTGAAGTTGTTTGCATGACCATGAAGAAACAGAGTGGGAGAGTGGTAGAATGGAGCCAGCGGCGGCCATTGTTGGTAAGATTTGCTGAAAAAGGTGAGGTGTGAATAGCAGAGCAACATGATGGTGCAATTAAGGTAAGGGGTTGTGGATCGATCGGAGATTGATCTAGAAACCTGGAGAAAGGTTACAGATGTATGCATATTGGCTATCGGCAAGAAATGGACAAGACTGCAAGAACCCACAACAACACGAAATTGGTAATTTAGGGGTTAAAAGGTTCTCTTTTCAATACACTAGAAGATACTCATCTAATACATCGACATAAATTTCGATTTTAATATTTTATTTTATTTTTTATTTCTATTAATGTTATAATATAATTTTATTTGTTTTTAAGAAATTAATAATAATTTTATTTTTAAATAAAATATAAATTTAAAAATATCATAAAAATTTGAAAAAAATATCAATGTTAACACAAATCAACTATTTAAAATTCTTATTTATTATGTAATTTATTTATTTTTATTATAATTTAATTTAAGTTTAATAATGAAATAATTTATTTTTAATTTAATAATATAATATTTTATAAAGATAATAATTAAGTATTCGGTTAGAAAATGATTATCCGCATTATATTTTAGATTTTTTCTATTTATAATAAGATGTTTATCTTGTATTTTGATTATGTATATTTACAGTTAGTTACATGAATTCATATATGTAGTTTTAATAAGTTGTGCTTATGTACAAGCTACTTGTAATCTTGAGTTTTAAGTAATATGCATTAATAAGCAGTACTTTATGCATAAAAATGGTTTTTAAGAGTTTTTGTCAAATATTTTATAATATAGTATAGTAATTCAAGTTCAATAATGAAATAATTTATTTTTGGTTTAATAATATAATATTTTATAAAGATAATAATTAAGTATTCTGTTAAAACTCAATAATTATCCTAATTATATTTTAAATTTTTTTATATTTAAAATAAGATGTTTATCATGTATTTGATAATGTTTATCTGCAGTTAGTTACACGAATTCAAATATGAAGCTTTAATAAGTTGTACTTACGCACAATCTACTTGTAATCTTGAGCTTTAAGTAACATGTATTAATAAACAGTATTTTATGCATAAAAATTGGTTTTTAAGAATCTTTGTCAAATGCTTTATAAATAGTATAGATTTAATTTCATAATTCTTTGAGAATTTTTTTTTACCTTTTTCTTAGAGTAAAAAAGGGATTTGGTTCTTGTGCTTTGTTGGTTTTTATAAAAATTATATTATTAAACCAAAAATTAAAGAAATACATAAAAAGAGAGAAATTTTAAATAGTTAGTTTAATATTAATATCAATTTTTTTTTACTTTTTTATCATATCTTCATATTTATATTTTATTTAAAAATGAAAACATTACGCTTTCTCAAAACCACATAAAACCGTATTATAACATCAACCTAGACAAAGAAAAAACGAAACATTAAAATCGAGACGTATTGCTACATTGTGTGAGAACCCTTATAATATATATATATATATGTGTGTGTGTGTGTGTGTGTGTGTATGTACACACGTAATACATATTTTTTTTGAAAAAAGTATATATTCACTGTATATTAGAATCAAACTAAAAGTATAATAATTAATATATATTAAAGTATAATAATTAATTAATCTAATAAATTCATAGTATAGAATTTTTTTTTTAGACTTAATCACGGATTTGGTTCATGCGGTCTGTGTGGGTTTTACGAAATTGGTCTCTCGAGTAAAGATAAAAAAGGAAAAAGATGAAAATGCCCTCAAGATTAATGGATAAACTGAATGGTTGTTAGAGAGAGGAACCAATTCGTTACAAAACGACATACCATTAATCCAAATCTATAATAAATGAAGTTTAAGGATATTTTCATAAAAACCACCAAACCATAGGGACCAAATATGTAATTTACTTTTTTTTTACTTTGAAAAGTCTGTTAAAGAGTAACCAAATTTGTATTTTGAAGCATCTATAGATAATATAATAATAATATTGAAGCTTTGATAGGAGTGTTCATGGGTTGGGTTTATCGGGTTGAAGATATTTGAACAACTCAATCCAATGCTTGTGGTTTGAATTTTTTTTAACTCAACCCAAACCAAAGTGCAACCCAACCCGTATGGGTTGGTCGTGTTAGTCGGGTTTGTCAGGTTGATATTTTGCTACATTAAAATATTATTTTAATCTTGAATATGTTATTTTTCTACTCATAATTTCTTTTTCATCACCAACCATTTGATACAACTTATCTATATTTCTTACGTATATCACATTCAGTTAATTTTCTCAATTTACATATATATGTTCACAGTTACTGAACATATATACGAATGAGTTATATAGAGATGTGAATAGATTGAAAATATGTGTATATGAAAAACATATATGAAAGTGTAATTGTCTAATTTATATATTAATAGAAATTCAACAATCATATTACATCCAACAAATAAAAGAATATCGGGTTCATCGGGTTGGGTGGGTTCAAATAATAGTAACCCAATATCAATCAAATACCTACGATTTGATAATTTTACAACTCGATTAAACATTTGGTTGCTTTGAGTTGAGTTATTTTGTATTGGATTGAATTGGGTTAATCGGGTTAGTCTGGTTTTTGAGCACCCCTATGCTTTGATATTGTAATGGGCTACTATTTTATAGCTGAAGCATTTTATGGCCCAAACTTATTTTTTTAAACAAAGAATTGGGTCCAATAAATTCTAGTTTTCCCCGTGCATGCCTTTCTGCTTTTCTAGTGGCTCTCATATTTGAATTTTAGTCGATTAATAATAGATTTTAATTCTATAAACAATTTAAAAATACTTTTTTTAATTAAAAACATTTAATTTAAACTACAATAAAGATTGATAATAAACCCAACAAAATGGAAACCAGAACATCTGATTCTAATTTAAGATCGTTTCCAAGTGTTTGTTGGGTGTCATTTATCTGGATAAGCATGGTAAATATCGAGAATCTTATCTGGTAAGTGAATGAGAAAACTCTTATCCGTTAAACGCTTACAATTACAGTGTAAAACATATCTAGCAACAATCCATTTTAATGGTCGGAGATAAAAAAAGAAAATTGTTTTTAAATAACGATTAATTACATATGCAGATTAATTATTAATTAAAAATATGAGAGAAATCATTTTTTTTAATTAACCTGGATATCCAACCCGCTATGGGAGCCGACTAATCCCAGGACGACCACCTACTTTGCAGATAGTCAGGAGTCACTGCATTTGAACCTTCGTGGCCACAAGGGGATTTTTATTCCTCCTTAGATTTGAACCTGAGACCTTATGATACTTTTAACATTTGGAGCCAAGTTCAAACCAATGAGACACCACCCTTATGGTTGAGAAATCTTTTACATCAAAATTAATACCGATATAACATCAAAAGAGAAGTTACTAAGAGGCAAAAGGGTAAAATCATAATAAAAAAACAGCAATAAAATTGTAATAATTATTTTGGAACATCCAAAATAAAAATGATTAATGGCAACAAAACTCCTTGAAACAGTATACATAATGGTTTGGACAGTTTATTCGTTTAGCCATTCGTAAATGTTTCTTGTATGGCTTAAGCCAAAATGACTTTATAGAGTAAGCCAAGACCTCTCATTTGTCCCCATTAAGGCACCTCAAACAAATTAATGCCATAAAGAATCCAATCTTATTTCTTTGCCTTCCTCAAACTAACAACTTAATTCATACAGACCTTAATAAAAATAGTAAATAAGCCCTTATTGAAATTGCTTGGTTTGATTTGATTTTATAATGACAAAACTATGAAAATTTATAAACCAAAGTCGTTCCTCCTCGTTACCTCTTAATGATCGTCCATCGGTAAATACGTAAATATTTTAAATTGGTAAAAGGTTATTTATAATAAAGGAGAAACCTTGTTTAGGTTTTGAAAAATAACGTGTGTTTGTTTTTTAAGAGGTGCTGAAGTCTGAAATCTTATTTCACTTTTTATTAATAAGAGGTGGGTGATAAAGTCTGAAATCTAAATTAAGAAGACTGTTTGTTTTTGTAAACTGACAAACGTTTGAAATCTGAATCGATAGTTTGTTTTTGTAAAATCAGGTGCAAATTTTTTACAAAATTCTCTTGATTTTCATAAAACTATCATTGCTGAAGTTCATCACAGTAATTGCTTAACAGATGGAACACGGTAAGAACCTTTTGGATACTTTTCAAACTTTCAATACTATCGGGAATGCCGACGGTGAGTCTGCTTGTGGAAAGGTCGATACTTTTCATACAGGATAGATGCCTGATAGAAGTTCTTGTTTCATATTAATCTTCTAAGCTAACGTATACGTACAAAAATTATATATATATATATATATATATATATATATAGAGAGAGAGAGAGAGAGAGAGAGAGAGAGAGAGAGAGAAGGTGGGGACGTGCATTTCACATGGGTGATTAAAGGACGGTGGCGTCCCTGGTGGAGAAAGAAACAATAGCCAAAAAGAATCAAAGAAAAGAGGAAATAAGATGAATTAAGATATTAGCTTACCTCTTATTTATTCAGACTCTATAAGTGAAAAGAGGTTTAGGGAAAAAAAACAAATAAACCGAATTACAAAACGTTTGAAAGAATCAAACATAAGTGATAATTAAGAGCTGAAAATGAAAAAAAAAATGAAAGATAAACACACAAACCTTCACAAGCCCAAATAAATGCTTTTATCTTTTATTTTTATTTTTTTTAATATTCGTAAACTCTCGTTATTTCTTTTAATTCATTATCTGATGGATGATTTTTCGTCATAAACACAATATTTGATACCGTTTTCTTCGAAGGTTTGTATTAGGTCAATATAGTCAACGAATCAAGCAATTCGTTTATTTTGTATACCGTTTTCCAATAGTTAAATAACAAAAACATCTCTATCTTCTTTTTCTCGAAAGAGAAAACACGAATGGATCAACAAAACGCTGTCCAATTTTTGGTATTTTCTGTATCGTATAATTTGATAATGTCAGTATTTGATTTTATT